AAAAAAAAAAAAAAAAAAGGCAACACAAAGGGTTCAGGATGTAGTGCTTAGGTAGACTGCTTCTGGATTCAAGCCCTAATACCACAAAAATAAACAAAATTCTACTAAAGGCCATAAAAATGCTGCCAAGTATGACAACAAGCACATTTCTTTTAATGAACCTGAAATAGTTTTTTATAATGTTATCTTAAGATAGGCAGTAAGTGCTTAAACAATGTACGCTCTTGAAAACAGAATCTAATTGAGAAATACTCTGTTGCCCACTGATGTTATTATAGATGAAATAATGTACTTATTTTAAGATAATCTGTAAAATTTCAGTTATAACTAATTTAGATTGACCCACTTACCAACATTAATGTTATAAACAGGATCACATTCTCTTCCAAGTAACACAACAGTATATGAACTTCAGCTAAGCATTTGTGGTAGGAGACAATCTTTTGGAGGCCTCGATCCCTGTGATTCCCTCCTTTCTGGTATTTACCCTCCTCCCTTAAGTAAAGGTATGATCTATGAGGTAATGGGATTCCCCAGTTATGTGCTTATGACTATGTGACTATGTTACTTAAGGAAAACGGTCTCGCTGGGATCCTTTTCACTCCTTCTCTAAGCTTTGAAGCTGTCTTAGTCTGCCTATGTTGGGAGGTCCATGGCATGAAACTGAGGATCAACTCTGGCAGACAACCAATAAGAAACTGATGGTCAGCTGGGCTACCCAATACACAACAGAAAAAACTGTAAGCAATCTCGGGAAGACTTGTTGCACATCAACAGATCATTCAGGTCCTGGATGCTATGGACTAGGACCCTCAGCCCTACAAACACAAGAACAGAATTCTGCCAACAAGGGTTGAATCTGAGGTAAGACTGCAACTCCAGACAACATTTTAACCATATGATCCCAACCAGAGGACCAGCTAACTCATGCCCAGATAAGTGTGTGATGTTTCAAGCCACGAAGTTTGTGGAGATTGTCATGCACAACAGAAGACAAACATAGTATTATACTCTTCTGGGGGGCAGAAGGAGCAGTTGAGTTTCCTCAAGTAGAAATTAGTTGGATAGGACAGAATTGAAATTCTGTGACTCTAAATTAATTTATATTACTTGAACTTTTTTCTATTCTACCAGACCTTTAAAGATGAACTATATACCAATGTTCCTCAAATTATTCCATGAAATAGAAAGGGAAGAAACACTTCCAAATTCATTCTATGAGGCCATATCATACTCATACCAAAACCAAGTAATGTCACAACAAGGAAAGAAAAATACAGACCAATATCCCTGATGAATTTAGATGCAAAAATACTTAACAAAATATTAACAAATCATATCCAACAATATATTAAAAAACATTGCACACATGACCAAGTTGGTTTTATTCCAGAGATGTTTTTATTCAAGGATGGTTTAATATACACAAACCAAAAAATAATTCATAGATAGAATTCAGACAAAAAACATTTAGTAATTTCAACAGATGCAGAGAAAGCCTTCAACAAAATTCAGCACCCATTCATGATAAAAACACTGAAGAAACCAGGGACAGAAGGGACATCATAAAGGCTATATAATAAAAAAACAAAAAAAAACCCCAAATCAACCTCATAGTAAATGGGGACAAACTGAAAGGATTTCCTTTAAAATTTGGAACAAGAGAAGGATTGCCACTCTTACTACTCCTATTTTATATAATGTTAGAAATTCTAGTTGGAGCAATTAGGTGAGAAGAAAACAAAAGGGATAAAAATAGAAAAGGAAGAAATCAAATTATCACTATTTATAGATAAGATAAAAAAGCTCCACCAAAAAACTGCTAGATCTAATCAACAAATTCAGCAGTCACAGGTTACAAAAATCAATAGTTTTCCTATATACCAATAATGAATCTGTTGAGAAAGAAATCAGGAAAACAATCCCATTCACAATAGCCTCAAAAAGGTAAAATAAAATACCAAGGAAGTCAAAGACCTGTACAACAATGAAAACTATAGAACACCGAAGAAAGAAATTAAAGATGATACAAGATGGAAAGACATCCCATGATCAGGGATAGGCAGAAATTTTTGTTAAGATGGCCATATTATCAAAAGCAATATACACATTCAATGCAATCCCCTTCAAAGTACCAATGACATCCTTCACAGGACTAGGAAAAGCAGTCCTAAAATTCATCTGGAAAAATAAAAGACCCAGAATAGTCAAAGCAATTCTAAGCCAAAAAAATAATGCTGAAGCTACCATAATACCTGACTTTAAATTACATTACAGAACTATACTAATAAAAAGTGCCTGATACTGGCATAAAAACAGACACATACACCGATGGTACAAAACAGACAAACCCACACAGATACTGTCATTTGATCCTTGACAAAGGTGCCAATTATATCCACTCAGAGAAAAGACAGCCCTTTTAACAGTGCTGGGACAACTGGTTATCCATACATAGAAGAATGAAAGTAGACGCTTATCTCTCACCCTGCACAAAAATCAACACCAAATGGAACAAAGACCTTGGAATTAGACCAGAAACTATGCAACTGCTAGAAGAAAACACAGGGTCAATGCTCCAGCTTTTAGGCACAGGCAATAACTTTCTCAATAGGAACACTAAAGCTCAGGAAATAATGCCAAGAGTTAATAAATGGGGCAGCATCAAATTTAAAAGCTTTTGTACAGCAAAGGAAACACATAGGAATGTGAAGAGAAAACCCACAGATTAGGAGAAAATGTTTGCTAACTACTCTTCTGACAGAGGACTGATATCTAGAATATATAAAGAACTCAAAATTTAACACCAAAATTAAAAAACCACCTCCAATTAATAAATGGGCAAATGAATTAAAGAGACACTTCTCAAAAGAAGAAATACAAGTGGCCAACAAATACAAGAAAAATATGTTCAACATCATTAGCAATTTGGGAAATGCAAATCAACACTGAGATTTCATCTCATGCAAATCATATGGCAGTCATCATGAATACGAAGCAGAATAAATGCTGGAGAGGATATGGAGAAAAAGGAATACTTTTACACTGTTGGATGGGACTGTAGATTAGTCCAATACACTATGGAAATCAGTAATAGAGCCTCCTTAAAAGACTAGGCATATGACCCTGCTATACCATTTCTTGGTATTTATATTGAGGAATTATTAAAGTCATTATACTATAGTGATACATGCATATCCATGTTTATGGCATCATAGTTCACAATAGTCAAATTATGGAACCAGCCCAGGTATCCATTAATGGATAAAGAAAATGTGATATATATATACAATGGAATTTTATTCAGCCATAAACAAAAATGAAATGATGACAGTTGCAGGAACGTGAATGGAACTTGAGAACATATGTTAAGCAAAATAAGTCAAACTCAAAAATAAATGTCTTATGTTTTCTTTCTTATGTGCAAGCTAGAGAGGAAAAAGGAAAAGAAAGGTTCGGGGGAGAGGATCTCATGAAAATCAAAGATTCTCAGTAGAATAAAGGAAGGGGACTAAGGGGAAGGAGGAGGGGAAGCAATTGGTAAAATGAGGGCAATGTTATTGTTCAAATTACATTGCTATATATTGTGCATGTACCAATATGTAACAATACAAATCACATCATTTTATACAACTACAATGCACCAATAAAAAATGTGGGGGAAGAAAGAAATGAATATAAAAACAATACAAAATATTTTTTCTATAGAGCAAATTTAAATTTCAGTCATGTCTATGAAATTAGAAATTCTAATATAATAAAGGTTATTGTGAGACACAGAACATCACCCCCTAATTCCCCACCAACACATACACACAGATAACTGTTGCAATTATTAATCTTCAATACAGAGACTGTTATTTGTGAAACATATAAAGGAAAAAGTTTACATTTCTTATTTCTCACCATGATTTCTAAAAAGTGGCATCCAGGGAGTGATTAGACGTATCATTCAACAATGCTAACTTGGCCTAACTCCTTGTTCACCTAGGAAATATTCTTTTAATGCTGAAATAATTTTCCAGAAATCATAGGGATGAAGAGGACTCCTACAGAAATAGAGTTCTGTGAAATTGTTTTATTACTGTATCATGATACATTAGAACAGTGTCTGGCATAGAGAATATACTCAATAAATATTTTTCAAATAAATTAATGAACATGAAAGTTAATTAAAATCACACTTCTCACCTGGAGCCCATACGACAAAGAGATTGGTAAGATGAGGCAGGCATATACACAATAGCAGAATTATAACATAGCATGAGAAAACTCAGGACTTCAAACCTGGAAGAAATAAACAATGGAAAAAAATACTGCATACAATTATTTCCACTAGAGACTACAGTAAATATTTTATTCACCGAATGGCTTTAATACCTTAATATTGACTTTTGTGATTTCTCAGATTACTATGGCATCCTTTGTTTCCGTTTCCATTCTCATTATTACAAGCCATATCCCTGGATGCCATCAATATTTTCTTCTTTAAAAAACAAATCATCATCCTTAAATCGATGACTCCCCTATCCCCTATCATTAGAAGTCTACCATGTTGCTATTCACTACATGATGAAATCCAAACTTACTAGAAGGTCCTTTGAAATCATGGAATCTTTACTACAAGGTCCTTTAAAATCCACCTTGAACTTACCTCTCCAGCTTTATTCCTCCCCTTCACTGCCCACTACATATACATACTCCATTAATCCTCTCACCGTTCCATGATTATGTTATAAGCTTTTGTAACTCCTAATTTAATGCATGCTGCTCCTTTTTACTACAATACTTTCTTATTTGGAAAATTCCCGCTAAGGTTTTAAGTTTTGGATCAAGTGGTGTTAGGGACTGAACCCAGAAACTCATGCATGCTAGTTAACTGCTCTACCTCTGAGCTCCCCCAGCTCCCAGCTCATATTTTTACCTTAGACATAAAGCTATTCTTAATTAGCCTAGCTGAAGAAAACTGCAGGTCTAAAACAGCATTTATTCTACAGAATTATAACTTTCTCTCTCTTTCTTGGTTTTACTCATTTAGTTACAGGCAACTTTAGGACAAAGAACCTGACTTTTTCATCCATATTGTTAATGTCTAGCACAGTGTCTAATATAATTGCTTAATAAATAGTTATTGAATGAATAAATAAATGCTTTTCTAATATTTATAGTCTCTAAAAAAAAAGTGGCTCTTAAACCTGGATCCATACTAGTTATACAAGACTTTTTAAAAACATATGTTCCTATGTCTCTATCTAGAGTGACCCAATTAAGAACCTCTGAGGACAAGACCCAGAGGAGTTGTACTTTTAAAAGCCTTTCCACAGATGGATGGTAAATGGTATGTGGAAACTCTTTACATTATTTTTGCCACATTTTTTGTAAGTCTGAAATTATTTTGAAATAAAAAAGTAAAAGGAGAAAGCCTGATTTGAAAGCAGTCATACCTTCAAATCCTGTCTCCTTCTCCATAAATCTAGGTAATACTGAAGACTTATTTTCCAAAAGGATAAAAGAGAATTTTTGCTTAGGAGCCAACAGGCACAACTGTGATTTGATGTGTGTGTAGGGGTGAGGGGGTAATACTAAACAAAGATTGAAGTCAAATATGACTTGCTGAATATTGAGACCTCAAGCTCTCCTTCACCACTCAGCCATCAGAATGCTAGCAGCCAGCCCACTACTTAGGGAACTAGATGAATTTGATGACTCTTAAGGGAAAGACTTCCAAGATTTGGACTCATGAAATTTCCCAAATGAGTGGCACAGTGAGATCACCCAACAGGGAAGCTCACAATTAGCCCACTAACGTGGTCAGAGCTTCTTATTTTTATTCCCCTACTTTTAAATAAGGGGGGAAAAAAAGACTACTAAACAAATGAGGAACTCTATTAATATGAAAGAGACTAAAAGTTAAAAAAGGAAAAAGGCAATTTGATGAAACTAGCATATAAAGAAAAAATAACTTTTCGTAACTAATTACTATTAATATTCTCAAAAATAAGAAGATATAATTTCAAAAATACATCTATTCAAAATGTATTCAGAGAACTGTAAAAGCTTTTTAGATTAAAAAAAAAAAAAGCTGCAAGAATTAAAAACTCAAGAAAGCCAGGCGCAAAGTTGCACACTTTTAATCCTAGTGTGTCAGGAGGCAGAGGCAGGAGAACTCCAAGTTCAAGGTCAGATTGGGCAACTTGGCAAAACCCTGTCTCAAAATAAGAAATAATAAAAGGGCTGGGGTGTCCAAAGTTCAGTGTAAAGCCATCCCTGGGCTCAATCCCCAGTACCATCAAAACGTCAAGAATGATTGGTGAATGCAGTTGAGGAACAGTCTCAGAAAGTAAAGCCATGGCAAATGAAAAAGAAAAGGATCTAGGAGATCCAATATCCAAATTAAAAGAGCTCCAGATGAAAGATTATATAAAGTGGAAAGTCTGAACTAATTAACAATAACAATTCGAGAAAAATTCACAGTCTGAAGGGCATGAGTTTCCAAATCTAAAACGTCCACTTAGTGTTCAGAATGGATGGAATAGGCCCACACCAAGCAATTTTGCAGTGACATTCAGAATTTGTGGTATGTAAATTATATTTATATTAAAAAATAAAGTTAAAGCCAATAATTAACTGAAAATGCGCAACAAGTAAAACAGTGTTATTATTTCAACATTCAAAATATTGCAAATCAGTAAGGAAAAAATACACAGTATAATATGAAAAAAGGATACAGGATATAGGTCAAGAAAAACAATGAACTAATACATAAATGTATTCAAGCACCAGCTAAAATGAATGAATACAAAATGACATCAAGTTTTAGCTATCAAATTGGTCAGAAAGAGGAAATAAGCACTCTGAAGTCACTGGTGGAACATTCAATTGGTACAGTTGTTTTGTGGAGGGTAATTTGGCAATATCTACCAAATGAATAAGTATACATTCCTTAGCATTAACAACTCACCTCCAGGAATTTATCATACAGATAATTATTGTAGATAATTTGTGTGCTCTCATGCAAAACATACAGAGAAATATGTGTTTCTTGCAGTATTCTTTATAGCAGCAAAAAACTGATAACAATCTAAATTTATTCAATATGAGACTGCCAAAAAACTGATGGTACAGCTGGACCTGATGGCATGTGTCTTTAGTCCTGTTATTGAGGAGGATGAGGTTGGAGAATTTTTTGAGCCCAGGAATACAGGGCTCCAAAAAAAAAAAAAAAAAAAAAAAAGCAAAACTGAGGTAAAATCTCCTCAGTACATATATAAAACAAAATAACAAGTACTCATTAAAGAAGAATGAGGCTGCCTAACATATGTAAGGCCCTACATTCAATCCTTGACAGTGCAAAAATAAGAAAGAAAGAAAAAAAGAATGAAGAGATCTATATGCACTGCTAGAGGAAGAAGTTAAAGATCTATTCTTTGGTGTAAAAAGCAAATTGTTATATAATATATACAACTAAATCCCATGTATATGGGCCTGCATGTGTTTAAGGTTCAATATATGCTATGTACATATAAATCATTTTAAAAGGACACATAAAAAACTGCTAACAGTTTAATTACTGGAAGTAGAAATGGGTGATTGGAAGGATGAAATTACACTTATGTTACTCTTTGCATTCTCATCTATTTTCATTTTATTCCAAGTTCTATTTTAAATTTACCACAGTATGTAATTTTATTCTTTAAATAATTTAAATTATAAAACAAAAAGGAACCAGGAAACTAGGTGATTTTATATGAGGAAGTCTTCAGACTATTTATGAGCCAATGTTCTTAATATATTAAGTTTATATTGTGGAAGGATTTGAATAAATCAACATTACTACATAGAAACAAAAAACCCTGTTATTTAAAGTTGGGATAAAGTCTTCTCCAAGAGTTATAAATATAAAGCACCTTGCTTATGAAAACAATCATCAAAGTTATATTCCAAACAACATGTCAGGACATATGGAAAATCATACCATTTTCTACCATATGTGTAAAATCTATAAGACGGTAAGAAGAAACAGAATTCTGGCCAAGCACTTTATCAGATGTCAACAACTACAGAAATGTGTCTGTGTCTGGAGAATGCTTTCTCCTGCCTAGGAGTTATTCCTCAGGGGTAATCAGTTCAAGAACCCTTGTAATATTCAAAATCCACAGATGCTTAAATCCTTATATAGAACAATACAGTATTTGCACATAACTTATGTGTACCTACCTACACACACACTTAAATCATCTCTAGATTACCCATAATGCCTAATAAATGCAAACATTATATAAATGATTGTTATAATGTATTGTTTAGGGAAGAGTGACAAGAAAAAAGTCCATATGTGTTCAGTACAAATGCAATTTTTTTCAAATACTTTCCATCTATGGTTGGTTGAATACATGGATATAGAATACATAGATATAGAAAGCCAACCACGTTAAAAAGAGGAGGGGATTTACATACCTCCTCTTTTTAATGGAGGTATGCAAATCCCCTCCTCTGACAGGTTATATCTACTGCCATGTTATGATATGGTACAACACTGACATTACTGGTAAAGTTATAATATTGATCTTTTTTAAAATTGTTTTTAGTTGTAGATGTGGTGATGGGGATCGAACCCAGGGTCTCAGGCATGAGAGGCAAGCACTCTCCCGCTGAGCTACAACCCTAGCACGTAATTTTGATCTTAATGAGTAAATGTACTCCTAAATTGAGGTAAAATCTCCTCAGTATGAATACTAATGAAAACTGCTAGGTTTAATTAATCATCAGCTAACTTCTATGAAAAACATTTCTGCCTAAGTATATCACAAAGTAGACCAAATTGCTACAAAATGCTTACAGTGGCTTTAAAAGGCAAGTTAGTTATTCTTTAAATCCCTAACTTATATTACCTTCTCCAAATGTTAGTTAGACATATTCATGATGATAGTATGCTGTGTTATACAAATGCTATACTAAATGTGTTTATCCAGGTAAACACATTTATTTTTGCTTAAGAGAGCCTTGGTCAATAACCAGGACATGGCCTATACAGTAAGTAATTGGCCTTGCTCAAAGAGAAGACTGGTCCTTGATTTTAGGAAGTAACTAATTAGAAATATATAATTAGAAATATCTTTGTTTAGGGTAGGGGCTGGTGACAGTAAAACTTAGGGTAGTGCTGTCCACATTTGACATTTTAGGTGGGGGCTGGCTATGCCAGAAAGAACCACAGTGTGATTTAATGTGATGGCTTCAGGTCACACTGTTTCAGTCAAGTTGGAGGCTGAGAACAACCATATGGGCAATCAATTTAACTACTCATGCTTACACAATGAGGCCTAAATAAAATTCTGGAAATCAAAGCTTCAGAGTTTCCTGAGATATCAACCCTCTGTGTATATGGTCACACATTGATGCTAGGAGGTATTCTGACTCTGTGGGAAAGGAAAATAGAAGCTTTGTGTTTGGGGGGTCCTCCCATATTCTACCCCACACATCTCTTCCTTGGGCTGATTTTAATTTGTATTCATACCCTATAATAAACCACAGCTATGTACAATGGCTTTTATTGGGTTCTGAAAGTTCTTCTAGAAAATCATTAAACAAAAGGGTGGTTTGGGGGTCCCCACCCCCTCCAGAAAACTTTTGTTGCTATCAGAATTGAGGACAGTCTTGGAACTGTGCCCTCAAACTTTGCAGTTTATCTGATATTAGGTACTAATTCCATTCTATAATCAAAAAAGCAAAGTGTAGAGATTAGATAAAATGCCCCAAGGGCACATTCCACATTGTAGTACTAGAACATGAATACTGGTTTGGCTGACTCCACACCCACACTCTACAAGTTTTATATAAGATTACCATAACATATTACCAAGCATTAGATAGATGGGTATTAACTACAAGATGAATAACCATTATCCAAAATGACTGGGACCAGAAGAATTTTGAATTTGGGGATATTTATGAAATATCTTGGGTTCAGACCCAAGTATAAACAAGAAATTAATTTATGTTTATACATACCTTATATACATAATGTGAATAATTTTAGTGTACCTGCATTTTTATTATGTCCCAATGTATGGAATTTTCTATTTGCAGTGTTATGCTGGCACTCAAAAAGTTTCAGATTTTGGAGCATTTCAGATTTTTGACTTTTGGATTAAGGATGCTCAATCTGTACTACCATGTATTTTACCACTTTGCTTTTGAACTGTTCTTATATCAAACCTAAACTGAAGTAATCATGGTTAACTATGAAGCATAAATTTACAATTGTTACCATCTACAATTTTGTCCATTACCTGTTTTGTGCAGTGAATGTTTCTCTCTGAGGATGAAGATCACTATAAACAACTCTGATGAGATCATGTTGACACAAAGCCCCTTCTGTCAAAGCCATAGATCCAATTGTTGAGGGCTACCAAAATAAGGTACAGTATCAGATAGTGTCTCTAAAATAAAGTCTGTATCATGTAATCATATTTATTTTTGCTTAAACAAAGGCAGTATCAGATAATTTATTCTTCTCCTTTGAAATCTTTTCCATTTCTCAATTATACAAATTCTACAGCTTATTTAGGAAATTATGTATGTAAAATAGATAAAATTAAAAACATACTGCTTCAGTTTTTCAAAGTTAAGGAATGACTAGGAATCAGTCACTTTAAAAAAATCAATTTTAATTTTTTTGTACTCCAGAAAAGATCATAATTGCTTATAATCATTTAATACAAACAATATTGAGGACTATAATCTAAAGGTTTTTTTTGGCAGGGGGAGAAGGGTAATTGGGGATTGAACCCAGAGTGCTTAAGCACTGAACCACATCCCTGATCCTTTTTTTATGTTTTATTTAGAGACAGGGTCTCAATAAATCGCTTTGAGCCTCACTAAATTGCTGAATCTGGCTTTGAATTTGCAATACTTCTGCCTCAGCCTCCCAAGTCGCTGGATTATAGGCGTGAGCCACTACACCTGGCAAGTCTTTTTTTAAATACTGACATAAACGATTTCAGGTTTCTCAAGTTAAAAAAAACTCATTAGTGTTTCATTATCCTCCATTTTATTTCATAACACAATAACAAGAACTTACATAAAATCTATGCTAGTATAAATCTATGAAGTAGTCTATGCTAAAAATGAATCCTGGCTAAACAGAAGACTTTCTATTTCAACAGAAAACAAAGTCCAGGGGAATTAATTAAGAAAGTTAATTGCTGTATACAGCTATTTGACAAGAAGGATACTATGTTGACAGGAAAATGGAATATAATTTTTAGAATGTTTCTGTAAATACTTTCCTCACAATTTTATGCACTGAACACTGAAGATCACAAGTTTGATTCACTTCTTTGTTGGATTTTACTTAAAGAGAGCAGGAAGAAAGAGTTCAGCCTGATAGGCATCATCTACTCATATAATTATCAGTGTTCTCATATTCAACAAAATAAAGGTAAGCAAAAAAGTATAATGTTATTGATTAGCTAGATTGTGTGAATTAGACTCCTTTACCTTGAAATACAATGGTGTTAACATTCTAAAGTAGTCAGTTTCCTAAAGAATAGTAAAAATGAAACAATTTAACAGTTTCTAAGGGAAACTAAGATTTATCTTTAAAAATCCATAAGAATCTATTTTAAAAATTAAAATGATACTGGTGATAGAAGAAATAAGAACTAAAGGAAACTTTCTCATTAACTACTTTCCACCTCTCTTCACAAAGTTCAGTCTTAACATCACCAATAACAAAAGGGCAGGCTGGAAATATAACACAAACATATAATTTGCATTCTCCTGTCTTAGCCTCCTAAGTCGCTGGGTTATTAGTGTGCACCACGTTGCCAAGCTAACAAACGACTGATTTTATTTATTTATTTGTTTGTTTATTTTGGTGGTACTGGGGATTGAACTCAGGGGTGCTGAGCTCCATCTCCAGCCCTTTTATTTTTTATTCTGAGACAGGGTCTCACTAAGTTGCCAAGACTGGCCTTGAACCTTCTACTCTCCTTTCTAAACCTCCTGAGTTGCTGGAATTACAGGCATAACCACTACATCTGGCACTAACATCTACTTTTTAGAAACCAGTCAGAGGCTAAGGTTGTGGATCAATGGTAGAGCGCTTGCCTTGCATTTGTGAGGCACTGAGTTCGATTTTCAGCACCGCACATAAATAAATAAATAAATAAATAAACAAACAAACAAATAAACAAACAAGCAAACAAACAAGCAAACAAACAAATAAACAAACAACTAACTAACTAACTAAATAAATAAATAAATAAATAGAACAAAGGTCCATCAACAGCTAAAAATATATACTAAAAAATAAAGAAACAAGTCAGTAAACATATGTTAGGATTCTATCTCTGGTTTTTAAAAAATGGCTTTGTATCTCAATATAATAATATATATTATATATATTATATCTCAATATAACAATCACATCTTCCCCAGGTTACTTACTTCATGGTATATTGAAGGCTTGGATAAGGAAGGGATAGTGAAAGATAGAACTTTATTATTTCCATCTTTATCAGCAATTTCCTATAGTCACACACACACACACACAAAAAAAAAAAAAGCACAAAGATAATGAAATAATCACAGGTTTATACTGTACGGAAAAAATAATTACTTCCTTAATTTATAGATTATAATTGGTAACTAAAGAATTTTTAAAATGATATATTAAACATATTACTACCCTATCATATTTTTTATAACTTAATTATCAGCAAATTTGTATACTATGGGAGTATTTTAAAACCCACAGAGATCTACTGAGCATAGTATTACACTAAATCAATACAAGAAGCAGGCACATAAATCAATTTTATGTTAAATTTACATATAAAACAGGGAGATTAAAACATTGTTGTAATGCAGAATGGGTTTTTTTTCCAGCTTTACTGAGGCATAATTAACAAATAAAAATTACATGTATTTATTGTGTAGAGCATGTTACAACCACAATCAAACTAATATACACAATACCTGTCATCTTTCTTAAGAATGAATCCTGAATTAAAAAAAAAAAACTCTTGCAATCATTCAGCAATAAACTACTGAACTAAAATAAACATGTTAACATAACTGATCAGTCCACGTGATTAAAAATAAATTTACATTTAGATAATTTCTACTGAGCTTCAAGAAAATTTTTGTGATTTTTTTTTAAACAACATTATCTCTTCATAAAAAGAACAAAGGTGTCCTTCATTTCTCCAGCCTCTAGTTCCTCTAAACTTCCTCAGGTATCAATAAACATCTGCCTATGAATGACAATCAGGAGCGATAAGCTGCAGCATCTTTCTTTTTGCCTATTGCCTTACTTTTATGTTTCTTTATAACTCATATTAGTACACATCACTGGCTTAAAACCCATACTGTCCTTAGTAGACTTGGATGGCAGGTAGTCAGAGAATGAGTAACAGCAAGCATAAAAGGAAAAGAAAAACAATAAACAGAATAACAATAAAAACAACTAACATCACTATGACACAAACCTGAAAGAACTTCCCAATGGACTCATTTCTGAGTTTACTATGTTAGGAGAGAGTACAAATTACACATGAACAAATACCATTCTCGAATTTTGGCAAGAAAAGTCTCCAGAGACCCCACATAGCTTCTTTGTAATCAAACTAGTTATTACCACACCTTGGTCATTGTATTGCAAAGAATGTTTATGCTAAGATAAAGGGGCCTGATTTAAGTTAGACATACCCCCCCGCCCAAAAATTCAATTTTTATTATTAAGTATACCATTTAGCCGAATATTTTGAAGTTATCTTTGTGTGTATTTCTCCATATCTTATGGAGAAAGATATGCTGAAACTTGTTAAAGGCCATATAAAACTCCCTCTGGGGTTATTTGGGCGGGGTAAGGGGGGGGAGGAAGAAATGGAGGAAAAGAGAGAAATCAGTACATAGGGAAAAAAAAAAGAATAAGAAAAAACTGATAACCACAGAGAAAAGTGAGTACATTTATTATGGAAATTAAAAGTCAGAAACCTGAGGTTAAATTTCTGACTTATAACTGGCATTTTCTTATATAGTATGCTATTTTTGAAGTGTCAAAATATAATTAAAACCAATAAGTACTGCCAATAACTTGCAAACAATCTGCTTCACAAAATATCTTTCACTTATCCAAGTACTAAATTATTACATGAAACAAATTAATAAAAATTATAGCTTAATGTTAAATAATCTAAAACACTAAATTACTAAATCAGCAAACATTACTAAATATGTAGCTAACACTAGAGAAAACACAGGTTACATAAAACAAATGTCCTGCTTTAAAAGAAAAAATAATCAAGTAAGTTAGCAAAGTAGAAAATTTTACTCCTAGACTAGTTTTTCATTAAAAAAAGCCTACCCTCAAGTATGATGACAATAAAAATGATAAACATTTATTAAATATCTTCAAATTGTCTTTTTTTTTTTTTTGGTACTGGGGATTGAACTCAGGGGCACTCAACCATGGAGCCACATCCCTAGCCCTATGTTGTGTTTTATTTAGAGACAGGGTCTCAATGAGTTGCTTGGTACCTAGCTTATTACTGAGGTTGGCTTTGAACTCAAGATCCTCCTGCCTCAGACTCCCTACCTTCTGGGATTACAGGTGTGTGTGGCACCCCGCCCACTTGGTTTCAATTACTTTTAATTCTACTAACAATGTTTTATTTTTTGTTCTGCAGGTGAGGCAACAGTAGTCAAGATATTAAGTACTTGCTCAAAATTTAAAATAGCCAATAAATAGTACCTCATGATTTTGAATTGAATATGAATGATTCTAAAGCCCTTACTCCTTCCTTCAGACTTCCAGTAATGGAAAATATTTTCCAATGATTTAAATGATAAGACTTAAAGGAAAAAGCACTGCTATAGAATATTTATTGTGAAGCTCAATTATCTAGTACTTTATACCTCTCAACTATAAAATCAAATGTTATTATGTGGAGTATTGTTTGAAGAGTATATTGAATACAAAGAACACAAGACTTCAAAGGACAGAAATTTTTACAAAAATGTCTTAAATTAAGCATGATGAAAAAAGCAAAAGCAATACTAATTTTTAAGGTACTAAAAAAGAAGAGTTTCATGAAGAATGCAGTATCAAATCATAATTAACATTTTAAAATTGCTATATCAAATTTTAATGATCAAACTACACTCTGGATGAAAAACTACACTTTGATTTGGAAATATCTATGTAACCTCTATATTATGAAGCTCAATAGAAGCATTTAAGTTTTAAGCCGGTGATTTCTCAAGCATTCCCCCATCAATGATTCCAACATATAATCATAATATTCACAATTCTTTATTGATGAACTCAGGTAATTTTCCAATTCTGTAAAGAAGGCATATGAGGGTAGAAATATAATGTATTATTTTGTTCCCTTGCATTGCACAGGAAAAAAGTCTTGCTGCCCAAATCTTCAGAAGGGTCATATGTAAGGGTCATCATGTTCCCATGTTCCCCAACTCTCTCCCACGTTTTCACCTCACTTTGTACAGTCCTTGTAACCTTGTAAGTACTTCCTTTCCTTTCTAACATACCCTCCCCATGTCAGTCTTCAAATTATACTATCAAGTATTAGTTGTTTCATTTCTCACTATAGTTTCCATTGTGTTCTTACTCAGATTTACAAAATCATAGTATGCTTTAACAGTATATTGGACTTTTCCCCTTAACTGATATCCTCTCCTAAGAGAACAGGAAACCCATGTCTACTTCTCCTACTCTTTTCAATTAAACATGTAGCCTTCAAAATATAAGGAGTGATGACTAAATTCAATTTATAATTCCAAGGTCTCTGCAACTTCCAGATTTACCTTTCTAATATACTGCACAGTTCTGCTCAAAGCTGCTTTCCCAATGCATACTAAAGAAAACCTAAACTCTTCACTTTAAAGACTGTCTAAAACTGATAAAAATCATTTTTCCTAGCTTGCATTTTTCCTTCTGTGCTTCAATTACTTTCCTTTTTCCAGGGCATGACATGACTTCCCTGCTTCTTTGCTTATGCTCATTTGATTATCATCTCACCTACTTCTAATCTCAACCTGTCAAAACTATTCCTCTTCATGAGACCCAGCTTAAATTCCATTTCCTTAGTAAAGTTGGCCAAAACTTCAGCTAATATTTCAGTTTCTCTCTGAAGTTCTTTTTCATACAAACTTTTCATTATTATTCATGTGTAAACATCTTCTCTAATACAGCATAAGTTGCCCTAAAAGGAGGAACAACATTAAAGTCAACTCAATTCCTTACACAAAAAGCATTCATAAATAGTGATCAAATAAAATAATTTGAAGAAGTCCTAAATTAACAATGCCATCAATTATAGTTTCATCTACTTTATAAAATGCTTATCTATACTTAATTAGTTCAAATTATTCAGTAGATATTTCAATATAATTTTCTCAAAATATTCCTTAAATATGATTTCAGAGGACTTTTTTAAAGTATCTATATATCACAAACTACCATTTTCAACTTACCAAATTATAAATTCCTAACAGAAGTGCTTCAATGCAACCATTACTCTGTCTGTCTCGGCTAACTGTAAGCCGTAAATAAACCCACATCAATTCTGGTAAGAACTGTAGCGTGAACCTCTTCAGTCGAACTTCAGAGCTACGATATAGTTCAAATAGCTGGTGGCAAACAGGTTCCAGGAGCTAAAAGAAATAAAAGTGCAGTAATTATTTCCATTCTTTTGGTTCTAACTATATTTCTTAACAGGCACATATATAAGTATAATGTTTTAAATATAAATCCTCTATATTAGTTTCTTTGTATTTTGAGTTAATTCAACCAATATCTCTGTAATCTCTATGTAAAGAGACCACATATTAAACTGATCAATGCACTAACTATAAAAAGTACTTTGTGCCCATATAATATCACCACACATTTTTGTTCTTTTGTTTTTATTTTTTGGCGGTACTAGGGATTGACATCAAATAATTTACCTCAGGCATGTTAGGTAAACACCCTGCTACTGAGCTACATCTCTTACCATCTTTATGTTTATTTTTCATTAACTTGCCCATGCTAGACTTGACTTGGGATACTCCTATTTCAGCTTCCTGAGGAGCTGGGATTACAGATATGTGCTATTTCACCTGGCACACCAATCTTTTAAAATCCTGTGCTACTAAATTTATTAGACCATTAAGCCTTTAGCCAATGTACTACATTTATACTTAATAAATTTCTTTTTCTGCTCTTACCAACTCTTATTATTCTCCATTTTAAAGTTTCCATTGGAATAAAATAATTTCAAATGGTCTTGCTGGAAATACTTTAAATCTCAAGAGAGACTGATTAAATAAATTGTAGTAAATACTTTTTGGGCATACAAAATTCTAGCTAATATTTTAAGTACATACAAGTGAAGCAAACTGATTACCTATAAATCATAAAACAGATTTAAAATTTCACTAATTTATTTGAAAGATTTTGAAAGATGCACAAATAACTTTTTCAATGTTAAACTGGCTAATTCTTCATATGTTATCACATAAAACAACTTATTAGAGACTTCATGACCTTGAAAACAAGAAAATGAGCAGTTACACATATTGTCAATTTAAAATAGGTCCGCTCTAGAGTAACTGCAGACTGAACGTAATTCGCTATAACTTTTAAATGCATATAATAGGATAACAAGAAACTACAAAGTAATTTTAATTTAAAATTTAATACCAATCCTTTAAAAATGAGTTATAGTAATTTCAAATGCTTACTTATAAATGACTAAAGTATCAAATTTAAAAATCTGTTTGAATAGTTATACCTCTGTAATAATATAACACTCTAGAATAAAGTCACTACTCTTACAAATTAAAAGTCAATAAATCTATACCAACTGTACAGTTAATATTTACTACATTAAGCTTAGCTCTTGAGGAGCAACTCTAAAGCGTAAAAGATTCACATACACACACATATCCTAGTCTAGTCAACACTAAGCCCTTTTTGTGAAGTCATTATCAGGGTGTAGTTTAAAATCTTAAGCTACATTTCAACTAGTCTAGGCCAAACAATATGTCAAATGTCACAGAAGTTAGTGATGGAGGAAAATGCTGAACTCAAGTCTTCCAACATTAAGTTGATGTTTTTCCACTCTACCACATTTCTTATACTAGAAAAGGAGTGAGGGTTGTTTAATTCATACAGTACTAAAAATGAACAAGTAATACATTTTTTAAAATAATCAATTACTGGCATCTTTTTAAAATGCTGACAGTACTGTTTTGCTCTTCTGAGGAATTAAGAGACCATGGCAGCTTTCATAAATTTGTTAAAAATATATACTTATTCAAATTGCTCTCCTCTTTAGTAAAAGAACCTCCAAAATTGTCTTCTTTACATTTTATGGACCATGATACAAATACAATGAATTTCTTTTGAAGAGTTTAATCCTCCTTTCTGAGCAGCAAGAGTACACTGGCATACATGACACAAATTTTAACTAAGCATAGCAAAGAAATACAGAGTTTCCAAAATTATTATTGTATTATTTTTCAAAGGAAAGGGAGATAATAAGAATCCATTAACTGTTAATCAGATTAACCCTACAAAATAAAAACTTACCAATACTATTCAAACTTTTAATTCTAAGTATAAGTATCATGCTACTATGTTCTCAAATTTCAATAAATGACACTGTCCTCACATTTGATACTCTGGCCCACATCACAAATGTTAAAAGTCATTTTCCTTGGGCTAAAAAGCTTAAGAATAATTCCCACCTTTCCCAAATTTGGCAAATATTGTTTTGGTACAAGTACTAAAATAAAAGCTACTTGATGAACACATTGAGAGCATTTAGGGTAGAATAAAAGAGATCTAAGCCTAACCTGAATGAGTTAAAGAAAAAATGTGAGGTGAAGAAATGAAAACAAGTAGACAGAGGCTATAAATGAGCAATAATTTGTGAAATTCATCTGTGAAGAGAGACAGAAAAATGGAATAGGTAATAAAATAGAAGGCAAGACTAAGGGTTTTTAAAAAGTGAAATGATTGTTTATCACTTCAACTACAAAACAGCAAAAAGGATAAAAATGCGAGCTGAGATTCTGGTTTAGTGATGGATATGAACAGAAAAAGAAGAGAGTTCCCAACTGTATTCTTTGTTAATAACTTACATAGCACACTGAGAAAAAAGAGGAAGGAGGTTAAGAGTATGAGGTCAGAGAAAATGTAAAATGAAGAGTAGGACAATGTACCAAGGAAGTAAATTAAGACTGCAAGGCTACTTATTATGTGCTTATTTGAAATTTGTAGTCCTGAATTTAAAATTTAAAAAAAATTATAAAAAGCATTTTCTTTAGGTATGCTCAGCTGTTCAGTTACAGGCATGACCAAAATAGATAGCTAGGTTTTGTCCAGTTTTGAGATTTTTGCCCAAAGAATATGAACTAAGGGAATAAGAGGCAAAGAAGCTAAGAATGTTTGCAAGGACATGACTGTAATAATCAGCCATGAAAATTTAACTACACTGACGGGAAGAGGAAAGGCATTTAAATCTTCAAAAAAAGATAGTTAACCCTAAGAAGTGGAATTGCTAGATGTGACTAAGGGATCTGATAGAGGAAAAGAAAAAGATAAAACAAGACCGTTGGTCTTACCATCTATAGACTAAAACTAAAGTTTTAGCATAGTTTGGCCATGATGTTAAATTTCTAGCCAGGTGTGATGGCACACACCTGTAATTCCAGCGGCTCGAGAGCCTGAGGCAGGAGGATTGCAAGTTCAAAGCCAACCTCAGCAAAAGCGAGGTGCTAATAAGCAACTCAGTGAGATTCTGTCTCTAAATAAAATACAAAATAGGCCTGGGATGTGGCTCAGTGGTTGAGTGCCCTTGAGTTCAATCTCTGGTACCAAAATCTCCTGTACCAAAAAAAAAGAAACTTCTAGGAAATATACTTTCCAAAGAACTCTGATGGCCTTTAAAGCAAAACTGGAAGATTGCCATAATTTCCAATTCATATTAAATATGACCATTTTCTGAAATGACTTTATAAGATTAATGTTCTCTTTTCTGTCCAAGTTAAACTCATGGTCTTAGTTTCCCGATATGTACCAGAAATTTTTATTATAAGCTAACACTTAAATTTCACAATGTGTAGTTGGGCAGAACCATTTAAGTTACAAAACTATGTGCTTAAAATGTAGCCATTTTGAGATCCCCTATCTGTTTCCAATCATATCAATAGACCTTCCCTTTGCCTGCCCCAATTTTAAAATTAGCTGACTAGGTAGATTATGACCCTGAGCTCCTGTCACAGCAAGGGGCAGTGTTGCTTTAGGAATAAAAACAGGTGGACTGCTCTGCCTCCCATGTGTGCTTGCTTTCCAGTCCTTGATCAGTAGCACACCCTTCTGCAAAAGTAAATTTTGTCTTGCCCAGCCACTTCCAAGTACACATCTGATTTTTCCTGGCATCCCAGTATCTCTAACAACTTGTTAACTAAATAATCCATTTGTTTATGTTTCAGAATATAATCAAATCAGGCCTCTGTGTGTGTATATGGCAAAAGCCAAATATAATATATGTTTTAAAAATATAACAAAAAGTCCTTCTATGAGTAAAGTCCAGAACTGTTTTAAGATCCTATACAACTTATCATTCTGTTTTGTTTTTCTGAAGCTTGGACACACAGAACCTGACTTGACAGAAGACTTGAAACCCAGACTTGCTTTAGTGGCTTGATGATTATATAATATAATATAATGAATACTGGGTCTTGAACTCTCAGGTTACATTGTCTCCATTTCTAGACCCAACTACAAGATCCTAAATGTTAATATTATTAATAAGTGTGACAAAATAAAGTAATAGAATGACTTTTCAAATCTCATATCAACTTAGAGGAGGAAAGTTTAAAAAACATAAAAATGCCATAGCTCTCAAAATATGAAAAAAAGAAAAAAGATAGTTTTTATACACTGTAAGTCCTAATGAAAATCACAGCATTCTAGAATCTTTTTGATTTTCACTGTTTCTGCAAACAATATTTATTTATTTAGTGATGCTGGGCTGATCAAACCTAGGGCCTCCCACATACTATATAAACACTCTACCACTGAGCTAAACTCTCAACCCAACTGATACTTATTACATGTTCTTTTATACATGACAAAATACTAGATTCTAAGAAATAACAAATACAGAATCTATGACCACTGCCCATGAAGAGCTTACAATCTAAAGAGAAACTATAAAACAAATTTTTAATAAGCAAAGCTTATGTGTTAAGACAGCATAAAACAAGGGATAGAGAACACTCATTCATTAATCAAACAGAGAATTCTGAACACACTTGGCCAAGGATATACATTATATACATTATCCATACCTAAAGTTATAAAACATTCAGAAATACACTGCAGGAGAAAAAGAAGCAAATGAATCCTGTGATTGCTACTACAAATATCAACAGATGCAAGTCTAACAAAAGCCAATCCAAATTTAGGAGACAGGAAAGAAAGAAGTCAATAAGCAGGCTTTTAGTGATAGGACAAAAATGAAGATGCATTTTAAGTTAAGCTGCTGGTTAGGAGATGATTACCTGAATTTCTTCAAACTCACTCCAGTACACAGCAGAGGCATTCTTGGAGGCTGTATCTGGGAAGATAAGAAGCTACTTTCCTGTGTGTTCCTTTCATTTTCATTTTAAAACATACATGAATCCAGTGGTGATAAAACTACATGTCATACTATTGTGTTAAAGGAAAGATAATGTGTGTATTTGGCATAAGCTAATATATAGATTCAATAGCAGCATTTTTGTCCTTCTATTATAAGATTGAATGACAGGAAACTATTATTCTGAGTTTATTAATTTTGACTATTTAGACTAACATCCTCTAATCATTTTCAGGTTAAAATTACTAGCAGCATCATTTTGTGTTACTTAAGTTTGATTTCACTGATTAGAGTGATTATACATAGTTTTCTATTATTAATAAAATAACAGTTAACAACATTAAAATACAGAAAACTGAATCAGTACACATTTAAAATTTGGCTTCCAAAGCAGGAAAACATTCCAGAATGGGAAATAGACAAGTTTCAAATTAAATAATCTATTGAGATGATGGTCACTCAAATCAAGAATCAAAACATACTGTCCTCAACAGGAAAAAAATTGAGCCAAAATATTTTAAAATATGTAAAGGGAAGAAATGGGAAAAGCCAAAGCAACTATCAGAATGAAACACAGCAGAAAGAAAAATTTCCAGATCCATAGTAAGGACAGAAACTACAAAACTTATGTTTATGTGTTTTAGTACATATATTTCACTTTGCTATGCATAAATTGGTTTTCTTATCAATTTTCCTACCTCATTATTTGAATCTTGAATAACTTTATAGAGGGCTGGTACAAGTGCTTTTTTCCGGTGTAAAGTTGCTGCATAGTTGGTGATTTGAGTGTCAGGTAATGCCTAAAAAAAAAAAAGGAAAACAAAAATGAACTTATATTTGGGAACTTAGGAACATTATTTCATAAATGCCTCCTGAAAAGATCTATGAGAGTCAAGCAGAAAAGTAAAAATAATTAATATAAGAAATAACCACGAGTGTTAGTAAAACAAATTAAGTTTCCACACTATATCATACAATTCTGACTACTCAACCATGAAAAATGATTAGAAATCTCTCATTACACCTATATTTGCTGAAATGGGCCATCTTAATCTAACCTAAAAATAATAATAAATGTATAATGTATTGCAATTCTTCCATGTTTTTTTACAAAACAATTTCCATAATAGTCCTACGTTACATAGTTTTCTATCACAACTACATCTTTTAATTACAAGAAATGAAAACATAAGGCACACATCCTGTTTTTGTTTTATTGACGTGTAAAAGCTTCTTTTTTCTTTTAGCAAATTTTATTGTACTGTTTCATTTGTTTCTATTGGGATGGGGTCTCCCTATGTTGCCCAGAATGGTTCTGAACTCCTGGGCTCAAGTGATCCTCCTGCTTCAGCCTCCCAAGTATCTGGATTATAGGTGTTCACCATCACACCCAACATTTATTGAATATATTTTAAAATTTAATTATCACTTCATCGATTGCAACGATTATTTTCATTTTTACCTATTCCCTTCTGGACCTTATTCTCATCAGTGCATTTTAAAAGAACTGTAATTAGAAAAATGTTATTTCATATTTTTCCATTTCTATATCATTGTATACTTGTATGTTTTTCCACTGAACACGTATTCACTATCTGAACCATTGACACACAGAATCATATAATACATTCTTATCCCCACCAATTTACCTTGAATTCTGACAACCATTCTTCCACAACACCACGTTCAGATCCCAGCATCTTCTTTTACCTTCTATTCTTCTTTAATGCTAAAAATAATAATTAAAAAGAAAAGTACTGAACCTAAGGATAGCATTACTTAAAGAAACTACCAAAGGTAAATGATGTATGTGTACCTTTCACTAAAGAGACTCATCTAATATATATTTTAGATAAGGAGACTTGTTTGTAGTTTGGAGTGCAATTAAAACAAAAAGTTTCAGAAATGAATTCTATGTTTAATGATATTTTTGAAAGCTACTATCCTAACGCCAACAACTATACTTTAAAGTGGCAAAGAAAGTATCCTCATTACTAGGCATAGTGATGGATGCCTACAATCCCAGCTACTTGGGAGAATGAAACAGGAGAACCACGAGTTTGAGGTCAGCCTGGGCAATTTAATGAAACACTATCTATAAATAAATAAATTAGTGATTTAGGATTCAAGATGATGGGCTAGAGGACTGCATTCCCAGTTGTTCCGCAGCTCAGGATTCAATCAGTAATAGTACCTGCTTCTCTGAGGTGAATGAAAGAGGGAGTTCACTAAAACAATAGGATAGGCAGAGTGTCTTAGACTCAGAAATTTGCACACATTAAATAAAGAAGAAAGATTACATTAGAGTCAAGCCAGGTGCGGTAGCAGCAGTAGTGGCACTGGTTCAGTGCTGAGAGAAGGGAAACAGAGAGAAACACAATGGACAGATTTAGTACAGAAAAACCTGAGATCAGAAAAGCAGGCTGCCCTTAGCTGATCCAGAAGTTGCACTGTACACTGGTTGTTGAAAAGTGCCCCATGTTTTCCAACAGGCCATTAAGAGCTGGAAGAGGAACCATATTGAGGTGGCCATGCTGCAGATCCTGCTGTGGAAGCTGGGAGATCTGAACAAACACAGCTAGATTGTCTCAGCAAGTGCCTACCATGTGGCCTCCCATGTATCTAGCAGAATAGGAGTAAAATAGATAGAGAAAATATTTTACCCAAGGGGATTCAAGTCAGAAAAGTGCTTCCACCTTGAGTCTGGTGGCTCCTGTGACCAGCTGAAGTGGTTGGGAATCTGAATGGACACTCAGTGACTAAGCCTAGGAAGCCTGGAAATGTTGTACTGATCCAGCAGTTGAATAGAATCCTTACCACTTGAATAGAATCCCTGGGAGGCTCCCAAGACCCAGATTTACAGGAGAGATGGGCTACTGCCAGGCCCAAGGGGTGTACTGATCTAATCTCTCCAGAGCAGAAACCACCAAGCAAAGACCCTGATGCCTCATCAGACATAAGCGGCACCTGCTGGAACTTCACTAATAAAACTCAGCAGTGGACTGACCCTGGTCAGTGCAGACAAAACTCCAACTGACAGTACTTAACATCCCATCCTACCTGACACTGGGGAGAAGAGAAGCTGACATTATTTGAACCAAATTCAGTCTTAGGTCACTCCAACTGGTGGCTTGCTGAACAACACAAAAAGAGGAAGGGTTAACAACCCACAGCCCTTACTCTTGTCCATAACCCAAGAACAAACAAAAAAAAGTTACACATAGAGTATCCATCTTTACTCACTGACCATTTTGACCACCTCAGTAGAAATAATTCCTTGATTTTTCACTTAAGAATCTTTCATTTTTGTGTGTGATTTTTGTTTGTTTGTTTTGTTTCTTGCTGTGATTACTGGTACATGAACATATATACATATATATATTTATTTCTTTTTTCTCATTTTTAGAATTTTTTAAAATGTAGTTATTTTTCCTTGCCTTGTCTGTTGAGGGTTAGGGTTTTTTATTAGCATATTTTTGTTTTGTTTTGAAGTGTTTTTCATTTGTCTACTTCTCCTGTTTCTCTTTCTCTCTTTTCTTCTGCTAACAGCCAAATTCTATTGTTTTCTCTTTCACAAAAGAGATAAAAATAGAAAAATATCACTATTTATAGATAAGATAAAAAAGCTCCACCAAAAAACTGCTAGATCTAATCAACAAATTCAGCAGTCACAGGTTACAAAAATCAGTAGTTTTCCTATATACCAATAATGAATCTGTTGAGAAAGAAATCAGGAAAACAATCCCATTCACAATAGCCTCAAAAAGGTAAAATAAAATACCAAGGAAGTCAAAGACCTGTACAACAATGAAAACTATAGAACACCGAAGAAAGAAATTAAAGATGATACAAGATGGAAAGACATCCCATGATCAGGGATAGGCAGAAATTTTTGTTAAGATGGCCATATTATCAAAAGCAATATACACATTCAATGCAATCCCCTTCAAAGTACCAATGACATCCTTCACAGGACTAGGAAAAGCAGTCCTAAAATTCATCTGGAAAAATAAAAGACCCAGAATAGTCAAAGCAATTCTAAGCCAAAAAAATAATGCTGAAGCTACCATAATACCTGACTTTAAATTACATTACAGAACTATACTAATAAAAAGTGCCTGATACTGGCATAAAAACAGACACATACACCGATGGTACAAAACAGACAAACCCACACAGATACTGTCATTTGATCCTTGACAAAGGTGCCAATTATATCCACTCAGAGAAAAGACAGCCCTTTTAACAGTGCTGGGACAACTGGTTATCCATACATAGAAGAATGAAAGTAGACGCTTATCTCTCACCCTGCACAAAAATCAACACCAAATGGAACAAAGACCTTGGAATTAGACCAGAAACTATGCAACTGCTAGAAGAAAACACAGGGTCAATGCTCCAGCTTTTAGGCACAGGCAATAACTTTCTCAATAGGAACACTAAAGCTCAGGAAATAATGCCAAGAGTTAATAAATGGGGCAGCATCAAATTTAAAAGCTTTTGTACAGCAAAGGAAACACATAGGAATGTGAAGAGAAAACCCACAGATTAGGAGAAAATGTTTGCTAACTACTCTTCTGACAGAGGACTGATATCTAGAATATATAAAGAACTCAAAATTTAACACCAAAATTAAAAAACCACCTCCAATTAATAAATGGGCAAATGAATTAAAGAGACACTTCTCAAAAGAAGAAATACAAGTGGCCAACAAATACAAGAAAAATATGTTCAACATCATTAGCAATTTGGGAAATGCAAATCAATACTGAGATTTCATTTCATGCAAGTCAGATGGCAGTCATCATAAATACGAAGCAGAATAAATGCTGGAGAGGATATGGAGAACAAGGAATATTTTTACACTGTTGGATGGGACTGTAGATTAGTTCAATACACTACGGAAATCAGTAATGGAGCCTCCTTAAAAGACTAGGCATGTATGAAATATGATATGTCAAGAGCTATGTAATGTTTTGAACAACTAATAAAAAAAAGACTAGGCATATGATCCTGCTATACCATTTCTTGGTATTTATATTGAGGAATTATTAAAGTCATTATACTATAGTGATCCATGCATATCCATCACAGTTCACAATAGTCAAATTATGGAACCAGCCCAGGTATCCATTAATGGATGAACGGATAAAGAAAATGTGATATACATACACAATGGAGTTTAATTCATTCATAATGAAAAATGAAATTAGGTCATTTGCAGGAAATGGATGGAACTAGAGACCCACATGTTAAGTGAAATAAGTCAAATTCAGAAGGTTAAGAGGCGTTATGTTTTCTCTCATATTCAGAAGTCAGACAGAAGGAAAACCAATGTGGGGTAGATCTCCTAAAAATCAAAAGGAGATCAGCAGAGGAAAAGGACCAAGGAGTGGGAGGCAGAGAAGGAAGGGAGAAGTGCTAGAGTGTGATATTGGTCAAATTATAGTTATATTGTATGCATGTACAAATATGTAACAAAAAATGCCATCAATATGTATAACTATAATGCAACAATTAAAAAAAGGTGGAAAAAAATCAGTGAATGAATGAATAACTCAGAATAGCTCAGAATGTAGCTCAGAGGTACAATGCCCAGGGGTTTAATCCCCAAGTAACACAAAAAAAATAAAAATAAAATAGTATACTGAGTGAAATCAACTGGACACTGTCAATGAAAAATGCAGAGTCTATGCAACCAGAATGATTTATACATCACAGAACAACCATGTGACAGATTACAAACATTTAACCTAGATAAAGTAGATGGTGAGAGGCACAAATTCAGCAAACTGATAATAAACATATGCACTATACAAAATATGACCTTTGAAGAGGATAGATTCATAAATTTCCTAAGATGGAAAAATGTACAAATAGGAAAAGCAAATTGTGTATATAAAGTATAATTTCAGTTAAAAGTTCTATAAAACATGAAAAAGGCCTGGAAACAAATACACACTAATCCATTAAGTGTTTATCTGAGGATATTCAAACCATGGAATTTTGAATAAAACAATAAGATGTATCATTTTTAAAGTGAATAAGACAATAAAAATAAATTTTCCTACTTTAAGACTCAAAAGGTAAGAAGAAAATAAAGAATTTAGGGAGAATGAGGCACTAACTGTGAAACAACAAAAATGGAAGTCTTTTTATTAACAAGACAATGGGGCTGGGGATGTGGCTCACTGGTAGAGTGCTTATCTAGCAAGCCATGAGGCCATGGGTTCAAGGACCATCAAAATCAATCAATAATAAAATAACAAAAGATATATGTCCTAAGTATGTTAAATTCCAAATTAGAGTTCTTAAAAAATAATTTTAAATTTTTTTCCTCTGAATTTCAAAAAGATTTTAAGATATCTACAAATATGTTATTAAACCAAGTACTACGCACTATGTAAACAGAGTACAAAAAACAGTAACTTACGTTACTTTCTTAGGATAAACTGATAGATTTCTTCAAATAAATTACAAGATTAAAAAAAGAAAGAGAGAAGCCTGGCATGGTGGTGGTTTGGGAGACTGAAGAAGGAGAATTGCAAGTTCGAGGCCAGCCTGGGCATCTTAGCAAGACCCTGTCTCAAAATAAAATAAAAAGAGATGGGGATATAACTCAATGGTGCAGTAGCTGCCTAGCAAGTGCTAGGCCCTGGGTTCAATCTCCAATACTGGGGCAGGGGATGGGGGAACTTCTCTGAGCTAATGTTTGTTTAATCTACAATA